AATTCAAGGCTTTGAAGTTTTAGATCTAGCCAAATCAAAAGCGTCCACCCAACCACGTTCCAGAACGTGCCTTTCATGTTTGTTTTCAGAAGAATTGCAAAGGATTGCTTTAATTATTAGAAATTGGTGCACCAAAGATAGAAGGGAGAGCAGGATTAAAAATAACAATAATCTAGATCAGTGGTGGCGAACCTATGGCACGGGTGCCAGAGGCAGCACTCAGAGCCCTCTCTGTGGGCACGCGCGCCGTTGCCCCAGTCCCAAGCCTTCAGCTGGGTTTTATAAAACCTTTTCGCTTTAGGCCTCCGCTGCCATGTACAAAAAAAAAAAAAGGTTCAATCAATCAATCAATTTCAACTTCTCACAGGAAAAAAAAAGATCTGGCAAAGTTGGAATTGATTGATTGAACTTTTTAGTCCCACCCAGTCTGCCGTTACCACTGCGGCCATGCCCACCCAATGGGCCACGCCCACCCAATGGGCCACACCCACCCGGCACTCGACAATGCATAAGTGGGTTTTGGGTTGCAGTTTGGGTACTCAGTCTCTAAAAGTTTCGCCATCACTGATCTAGATGATTAAATGCAATCGCAAAAATAATCTAGACAATTAAATACAGTATGAATACGATACTACCTAGTGTGGATAAAGTTTGGCAGATCCGGTATGTTTAACTACAGGAATCCAAGTGAATAGTTTCATTTTTAGCAATGATTTGCAGAGCCCTCTAGAGGTTTTTAGGCAAAAGCTCCATTTTTTTCTCTGTTTTTAACTAGAAACCTTTAGATTCCTTTTTTTTTGTTTTTATGACTGCAGTGGGACACAGTAGGATTAAGTGCTCAGTTTTCTATGTAGTGTATTAAATAAATCATGCATAATACTGTAATTTCTATTTGCAGTTTTACAGCTGTATCCCTCTGAAATGAAAGAGGGGAAGAGAAAACCAATTTAGTTTTGTCCCTGCTTGTTCGTTCACAAAACAACAGAGTGACTAAGGTGCCTCCACAACGGACACATCTTAAGCAATCCATGATCTCTGTCTCCCATAGAGATGGATATCACTTCTCAATCAGGATTATGTGCAATCCCTTAAATCCAACCGTGAGTTTACAGTAGGCACAAATATCTATTAATCTTGATGACTGTTTATTATTTGCTGGTTCCCAGGCAGCTGTACGCTACACAGCTACAACTGCCAATTACCAGATGAAAACAGATCATGGCAGTGTCCTTGGTGCTCTCTAAGCTTGGTTGTTTTTCTGATTGCGGACATTTCATTACCAAACTAGGCAAGATCATCAGTGCTAGTTTGGTAATGAAACATCAGTAACAAGGAAGCCACCAACCTCAGAGA